ACTATAACATTTTTAATAAGCAATATATTTGGCATTGATTTTTTTTCAAGATAAAGGCTGTTTTTCGCTAATCATTTCCCATAACCATTAATTTCATAGTATAACGTGACAACCAGTACGCTAGTTTTTATACCAATCGCACAAAATGAACAAGATGAAACAATTGTAATTTCAGGCCCTGGACTCACAAAAACGACACACTCGCATTGAAAACATTCTGTTCATGATTAGACAGTGCTACCCATTCGCCAACTCAATCATTCTCATTGTGCTCATTAAGCCATTCAGAGATCCCGTCGTAAAAGTGTGGCACAAGATCAAGTGCACTTGCAGAAGAACCGAGTAAGCCAGTGATTGTTTCCAGCACGCACAATTTTTCCCATTTATTTCTGTAACCATTCCAAGATCACTGGAAAAATATTGCAAAGTAATGTTAACTAGCAGATGAAACATAAAAACATCACAACCATACTTTTTGTCAACTCAGTTTCAAACACGACTCTTCAAAATCCGCCCAGCTCGGTAGAAAAATAGAAAGCCTTTCGAAATTCATCATGAAAGCGCTCAGTTTCAGAGAAAGAATTTAGTCGATATGCACTAAAGCCCAAATAGTTCATTGTTCCCACTTCCAAAGAAATTGGCTGAAAACTATTCCTAGGTGTTTTTCCTTCTGACAAATTTAGAAATTTGTACTAAATTTGAACTCCATCAGAGAGGTGTTGACATCTTGAAGTCAAATTTGAAAAGCTATTTGTGAAGCAATCGGGGATATTTTTTGTGAAGCAATAGGGGATTTAAATGTGGCAAGCAGGCCACCTTAAAATAAATGGGCGCGATATGTTTTCATGCTAATGATGCGTAAGCGGCGACTTAATGCAACTCAAAATAACACAAATAGTACTGAGGCAAGCATTTTGTTATCTTTTTATTATGTCATTAGACGACCACTTCATCATTTTTTAGTTTACAGCATCTGGGGGTGGATTAAAACAAATTTAAGAAGAAGAAAAAGTTTGAACATTTAAATAATTTCATATCAACTGTTAAAATCCATCAAAAACCGGCCGAAGGACTCGCCCTGATATGAGCAGTCTTGTTATTCTTGTGAGAAGGATAATGGTGCATGGTGTGGTTTTGTCGCATCACTTGTTCACTTTGTCTAAAAATGTCACAGAAAAATTTTCAAAAAACCCCATGAAATTTATTCAAACATTTTTCCTCGTTTTCAGCGGGAAAAAGTTATGCAAGTTGTTGACGGAACATTTGTGCTCAGTGCTTCTGTTTTCAGACATTTTTTTAGTTAGCCACATTTGGACAGAATTTTTCATACCATCTAAAAGTATATACGTCTTTGCGTTCAACTAAAAAACACGTCTCCGGGTACATTTTTCCGTTTTGGGAACTCGATACAAGCTACCCACTTTTGGTACTTTTTTAAGAAATCATTTTTTGGACCAACAGAAGCCTTTTAAAATGCCTTTATCGCCATTATAAACTAATTTTGAGGCTGCGCGCCCGCCAAAAAGCGCTACTTTCTGTCAAAGTTTTCTTAAAACTTTCCAAAAATTTCTTTTTTGACCTGTTAGTTCAAAAGTTTGCCCGCGGTGCAAAAATTTTTTTTTTCCAAATAGGATTTTTATACTGTTCTGGTCCCGCTCGGAAATCCAATTTGGTCGACTTAAAAAAAACGAAAAGAATTTTGAAATTTTGTTTGGAAAATCCGCATCACTCGAGATAACCTTAGATCCGCCCCTGCTTACAATTAAGGATTTGTTAAAAACTGTTAATAAAATGTTACTATATTAATCTTCAGCAGATCAGTTTTAGTTTGTGAAGCAATAGATGATTTAAATGTGGCAAGCAGGCCGCCTTAAATAAATGGGCGCGATATGTTTTCATGCTAATGATGCGTAAGCGGCGGCTTAATGCATCTCAAAAGAACACAAATAGTACTGAGGCAAGCCTTTTGTTATCTCTTTATTAAGTCATTAGACGCCCACTTCATCATTTTTTAGTTTACAGCATCTGGGGTGGATTAAAACAAATTTAAGAAGAAAAAAAATGTTTGAAAATTTAAATAATTTCATATCAACTGTTGAAATCCATCAAAAATTGTCCGAAGGATTCGCCCTGATACGAGCAGTCTTGTTATTCTTGTGAGAAGAATAATGGTGCATAGTGTGGTTTTGTCGCATCACTTGTTCACTTTGTCTAAAAACGTCCCAGAAAGTTTCTCAAAAAAACCCCATGAAATTTATTCAAACATTTTTCCTCGTTTTCAGCGGGAAAAAGTTATGCAAGTTGTTGACGGAACATTTGCGCTCAGTGCTTCTGTTTTCAGACATTTTTTTATTTAGCCACATTTGGACGGAATTTTTCATACCATCTAAAAATATATACGTCTTTGCGCTCAACTAAAAAAACATGCCATGGGTATATTTATCCGTTTTGGGAGCTCGATACATGCTAGTTTGGCAAACTTGAATCAACTCGCTAGTCATTTCATGATTTCAACACGTAAGCAGCTATTTCATCCGGCTCAGAAAACAATCAAAATTGAATAGATGCAAACTCTTATTCCTATTTTTAAAAACATGGACGCTAAATTTTTCATTTTGCACTGTTGTAACGTGCGGGGGAGGTTTCAAAAAAATGGTTAGAAGCAAGGTTTTTTTCATTTTTGAAATGTCTTCATTTTTTTATATATAAAAAAGACTTTGTAGAAAATTATTTCTTAGACGTCAGAAAACTCAGGAACTTGCCCTGATTTGATCACTTTCGTCTCCATTGCTATGTTTAAAATCACTTACAATCAGGAGCGATTTTAGGGGGGGGGGGGGTTGGAGGGCATGAGACTTTTCCCATCTCAGGGATTCGACCCCTACCGACCCAAAAGGTCCCCCTATTGTTACTTTTTTTTATAAATCTTTTTTTCGCTCAACAGAAACCTTTTTTAAAAACGCCTTTGGCGCCAATATAAACTAAATTTGAGGCTGCGCGCCCGCCAAAAAACGCGACTTTCTGTCAAAGTCTTCTTACAAATGCCAATAAATTTCTTTTTTGACCTGTTAGTTAAAAAATTTGCCTGCTGTGCAAAAAATTTTGTCTCCAAATAGGGTTTTTATACTGTTCTGGTCCCGCTCGGAAACCCAATTTAGTCGAATTATAAAAAGTTGGCAAGAATTTTGAATTTTTTTTTGAAAATCCGCATCCCTCGAGATAATCTTAGATCCACCCCTGCTTACAATTAAGGATTTGTTAAGGACTGTGTAGGAAATTTTACTATAATAATCTTCAGCTGATCAGTTTTAAATGTTTTTTTTTCTAAGAAAACAAAGTTTTCTTCTTGAGTTGCATGCAACATAAAAAAACGCATAAATTGGCGTCTACTATTGAGTAGTTCTTAGTTCAGAAAAAAATGTTTAACTGTTTAGCTTCTAATCATTATCATTACGTCTGCTCGGCAAGACGTTCACTAAAGTATTTTAATTGTTCATTTTTAAATAGAGATTTCGAGATTTAAATTTGTTTGACACAATGGCTTTTATTGAATCCAAACGTTGTCGGATTTTTTTTGCTAGTTGTTTTTTTTCCTTTTTGATAGAAGGGATTTTCTCAAGTTTTGTTCAATGATACTTGTTGGATCTGTCATTTTGGGAAGGTCAAATTTTCAAAGATGCTGTAGGGGCTCGAACAGTTAAAATAAAAGTAAATTGCCCTTTCAAAACTTGTTTTTTTTCTATCTTTTTTGAAATCCATAGCATTCACGAAAAAAAACATACAACCAAAGTCATGGAGTCGTGTAATCTTATTTAAACGAATATTATAATCGTTCTTACGTTTATCGGGGATGGATTTCACTGAAAAAAAAAATTTGAAAGTATTGGCTTACAAACCAGAGAATTATACCCGTACCCAGCATAGGCTGTTTTTCTAAAAATAAACGTTATAAAGATTATCTCCGCAGCTTTTTTCATATTTTCTGTATAGAAATGATCTTTTCTTTTTAAGGTTAGAAATAAACCACTTCTGTTCAGAAAAACAAAAAATATATATGTTTTGTCACGTGTCTTGTTTTTGGATAAATATGACAAAATTGAATAACATATGACAAAATTGAATATAACGTTTCAAAACACCAAGAAAAATTTTAGTTCGGTCATAATAAAAATAGGTTGTTAAAAAACTGGAATAGGTCTCGTGGGGGGGGGGGGGGTAAATATATAAATAGAGAAGAAAAAAACGGAAAAATCTGAATATCAACGCATCTTAAGATCTCTTCTATTTTTTAAATTTTTTAATGAACTAAAATTTCTCTCGGTGGATTAGGTTCAACTAATTTTGTAGTTTGTTTTGATATACATGACACAACCCGGAATAGATCAACAGTGAACTTTTTAGTGAAAAACATCATCAATAACTTCTAGTTATTTAGGCGATATTAGGCCATTTGCCATTAGGCAATATTTCGGCCATTTTAAAATTGAATATACAAATGTCAATTATTTTTTAAAAAATTCTAAACAAAAATTAGATGAATAAAAAGTTTTTTTTTGGATTAGAAATAGCCTACATTTGGAAAATTTCTGAACAGAATTTATATTAGAAATAAGCCTTTTCTGGTTAGAAATAACCCAGATTTAGAAAAATTCTCAGCAGAAATTAGAAAAGAAATAAGCTTTTTCTGATTAGAAACAGCCTAGATTTAGAAAGCTTCCGACCAAAATTTGGATTAGAATATATATTTTTAAATCCATGCTTTAGTGTTCCGACTTTTGTAACAAAAGCAACGGG